CTTAATGTCTGTATTCCCCTTCCCCGATTTTATGTGAGCCGCCCTGAGTCCCCTCAGGGAAAAGGGCGGCCTACAAATATTAATAAAAACAAAAACAAAACAAAAAAAAAATAATAATTCTGCAAAGTGACCTGTAGAAGGAGTCACTGATGGGTATTCTCACATCCAATCTGCCCAGAGACTGAGGTTAAAGTTGAGGCCACTCCTCTCTACTTCCTCTTCCTGGCTCCCCAGATTAATCTCAGTCTTGGCCCGAATGAGTACTGTTTTTGATTGGCTCTTTGATTGGAATTGATAATTTATTTTTTTCCATCCTTGATTCCTCCCACCTCCCTCCCTAGCATCTCTGTTTGTGAGTGTCTCTGCGAAAGTTAATCTTTGTTGCTGTGTGTGTGTGAGCCTCTAAACTGCTGGTCGGTCGCAAGGAGGCTCCAGGCTGCGCACCATGAGGTGTTGGGCGCCGAGACCTCCTTTTTACATCGGGAGGGTATCTAGATCAAAAGAGGGCTCCTGGAGGAGCGGCTCAGTCAGAGCTCACTCAGCTTTCGGACCTCATGGTTGGCGGTCGCCATTTTGAGGAGATGGGCATTTTGGGAGATGCACGTGGCCAGAGCACAGGGATTAGTGCTCCTGCTCCAGCTCACCACAAATGCTCCGAGGCCACTGCCAGTGCCTGGAGGTATCGTTTCAGGCCAGTAGTCCGCCATAGCACCAGGGAGGGCCCCATTTTTTGAGCCGCGGATCGGGGCCGTGGCTGCAAGTGGGAATGCCGGTTCAAAGGAACTTCAAACCGCACACAGCAGCTTTGAAACACCCAGTGCCCGAGGAAAGCAGAGGTGGTGAGGCAGCGTGACCGTGAGCAGGGGAGCAATGGCAGATTCCATGAGACGCAGGGGGAGCGACTGCCCCTGGATCACCAGGTGATTCCGATCCGGGGGAGGGGACCTCCCGGGGGGGGAACCCCATTAACGAGGGGGAGGTCCACCTCCAAGAATAGCACCTCCCAAGTCTTCAGGGAAGGGAGGTGCCAGAAAGCGGCAGGAACATGAAGTTCGCATCACCAGGGCTGCTGGCAGGCGAATTAGGGACAGCATCAGCCCCTCGCCATCAAGATCAGGTTTCCCCCACAGGCCCTCTCTGTTGGCTGAAGCCCAGCATTGTTCTCCAGGCTCCCTTTATGGGTCAACTAGAGAAGACAGCTCCCTCTCTCCCCCTCTCTCCTGTGCGGTCTGCAGGCCCCATTGGGGATTCTTCTGGCCATCTGGCGACCAGTTCCACTAGGCCTCATCTGGCTCCTCAATCTGTAGCCTCCAGGCCTGAATTGGAGCCTTTTTACAAGCCTCAGGTGGAGAAGGAGGAGATCCCTACTCCGGATTTTTTCCTTGAGGTGCTTAAAAATCAATGGGCTAAGCCTGAGACTTTTCCCACACCAGGAAGTAATGGTGGCAGATTTTATAATCTTAATGCTACTTTTGCTCAAGCCTTGCATGTTCCGACAGTGGATACTCCGGTGGCTGTTCTGGCTTCCTTCTCTGGTGGTAACAGGGGATATCTCTAACTGTCTGAAGGTGGAGGAGAAGGCGGAACTAATCCTGCGCAAGACCTTTCTTTTTAAAAGGCTTGCATAAATTCCATCTGTAAAGATAGCATTTAAAAAGTAAGATAACCCACTGTTCAAAACCAGTCCAAATTTAA